CCACGACTGCATTCGAATATTCCAAACCTATACTGCTTTCTCCGCAATAATTTCATTTATTAACTTGGGCCTCATACATTTGTTCTTAAATAGCTACGACAGCGCCAAATCAGGAGGTGCAAGAATTGAAGGAAAGGTTAGCAACATTACAGGCGTCTAAGATTAGAGAGGAAGGTAAGTATCACGAATATTATCAAAACTCTATTACTATTTTTCTTCGTTTTGCCATGAACATTTGGTGTATAGTTTGTATCGACTAATGAATTGTTCTTTTAGTTTCCATATACTTCAAATACCGTAATTCAGAGGCCATAAATCTTGGTTCTGAATGAAATAGTTTTAGTCAGTTACATGTCTATTTGAAAAACATTTTCGGTCTTAAAGGCCCATTATTGAATTATATTTTTTCTATTGGCGATAAACTAATAGATCTTAGCTGGTCAAAAAGCGCCTTTATCGATTATATTGAAAAACACAAATGTTCGGCCAATAATCCGATTACAATTTCAGAAAAGAAGAAAGGTACAATAAATTTAGTTATCCGTAAATCGTAAATAAACTAGACTAATGAATCTCATTCTACAGTTAAGAGATCATACTTTGATACGTTAAATTCCTTACCAGCACCATCAAAACTTGAAGAACCTGAGGAATGGTACAAACGACAGAAAACTAATGCTGCTGATGCTATTTGTCTTAACCACTGCCCTCCAACTGCCTCTAGCTCCATACCAGTTAGCTTGCTTTGTTCGATTTTTGGAAATTTTAAGGATTTATATGATGAGCTTTCAGAAAGCGAAGATAATCGTTTTGCTTATGATTTTTGTCTCAAAATAACAAAACGTTATAATTCTGAATTGGAGCGTCAAGTTGAGGCGAATAACATGCTATCTAAATATTTCAAATGCCCTATACAACCAATTGTGACTGAACTTGGTTCTCGTACTGATGGTACTGTATGTTATGATGATGGTCCTAATACATATCGTGAGGCTAATGTAGAATACAAGAAGCATAACTGTGACTCCGATGCCTGTCCCTACCTTGAAAATTGTAGATATTATTTAGTTTTTTGCACGGAAAAAGAAATGCATCCTTCCTACCATGTGACTAATTTTCCATGCTTTTGATTGTAATTTCTGGTATAGTAGTAAATTTAGTTTGATATTTCTTTGTCAGAATTTGCGACTAACTTTGATTGATTTAGGACCTTATTTCTCTGTTTTCGGCGCTGTGTTTGCAAATATGGCTATTGTCGACCCGCTTACTCCGGTCTTTCCCCTTATTTGGCAACAATATGACGAAGCAATGATGGTATCAATTGCCAAAACATTTCGTGCTTTGAAGATATCTCTCCAACTTCTTCATCAATATTATGCTAATGTTGATGAACTAATTCAAGACGAACCTCAAACTGTCCATCTAGTGCATCCTTCATTTCCAGAAGTGATTTTAGACAATAAATCTTACATGGTTCAAATTAAATCCCAAGTTAGCAAAAATCTTTTTTGGGAAGTTACACTTTTAAATGAACAAGAACCTCATCTTACAGCCTACGTAAAAGCTGTTCAAAAATATCGATATTCACTTGATACACATGAACTGTTAGCTAAAGTTGGATATGCTCCAAAAATCTTTACTACTTCAGTAGTCCCTGGAAATTGGATTTTGGTTTATATGGAATGGCTGGACAATCACTCAATATTACATAATGTCTCTAACCTTGAAGATTCAGGACGAAATTCTTTAAAAAAGAAAATAAAAGAAATTGTCAAGTATTTGCATAATTTAGGACACGTTCATGGAGACTTGCGTGAAGGGAATATACTAGTTAGACAACTTGAAGATAATGAATTTGACGTGAAGTTGATCGATTTTGAATGGTCTGGAAGAGTTGGTTCTGCGCGTTATTCTCCTTTTATGAATCATAAAATTCAATAGCCAGATGGAGCAGACGATTGGAAACTAGTTACAACAAACCACGATCTTTTTATGTTAGAGCAGACTCTTCGGAAAAAAAATTTGTTATAAAATGGGACGGATATCAGATAGTATGTATTTTGGTTTAGTAAGAGGGATGGATCAAAAAAGTTTAGTGTTTTGTTATTCTTAGCATGTGATATTAAAATTTTCATATAATAGACTTGACATTTGATTTTTTAATTAATAAAGCTGGCCCTGGTGGCTGATTTTGCATACATAATCGCGTTTACTTTTGCATGTATATTTCGTGAATTTATTTTATTGTATTGTTATCGATGTATATTAACTCGTATATGATCGAGAATTTTTGATGCCCAGAGCGTAAAAGTTTTTCACGCAAAAATTAGTTCGCAGACAATAGTATAGACGTCATATATCACGAGCTAAGTCCCGAACATTTGTATTTATTTTTCACATGTATTAATAAAAAATTTTTTTCTTGGCAAAAGTGATCAGCATGAACAATTATTCACGCGCGTGATTATTTATTTTGAATATTAGTGTATAAACAGGTATATCAAACATGTCAAATGCTCAATCTATTGATTTATTGAGAGAATTAAATGCTAAACTCTTAACTGAGATTGCAGAGCTTAGGAAGGAGAATGCTGAAATCCCTAATCTTAGAAGGAAGTTTGCTGAGATTGAGGCTGAAAAAGCTGAGCTTAATAGTAGGATTGCTGAGCTTCTAAGGCAGGCTGTGGAAGAGAGTAAACAGCATGATGATGAGAATGCCAAACTCAAGGCCAGAATCGAGAAGTTAGAGAAAAACAAGGAAGATTCTTCAGCCAAGAATATTAGGCGTGATGTTGAGATTGCTGAGATTAAGGCTGAAATAGTGAAGCTAAAGGATAATAATGAAGAGAACAAAGAGCTAACCCAGGATATTTCTCCCGAGAGGGTTGACAATGTACATAACTCCATTTCAGACCAATGTGATAACGCCACTTCTTGCGTAAGTGATCAGAAGTTATCGGAAGACAGGGAAATAGATGCTTTCCTGAACGAGGCATGTAAGCAAAGTGTTAGTGATGAAATAAGACAACGCAATAAGGAGAAGAAACTTAGCAAAGCATCCTTTAACCAAAATCAAGAATCTGATACCGGGTTGACTATAAATAACTACATATCCTCCGGTACTTCTACTTCTGAAATTTTAGCTGAGAGCCCCGTCAAAATAGCCATAGGAAGAAAGGTGCAAAAAACATCGTACAATTGATAGCTGATGGCATTAAAGATGATGCCCAATCGAATGACAAAGCCACTCCTTGCGATGTGATTTCAATTGAGAGTCTCTGCCAAAATTCATCTATAGATTCATTGCTTTCTCTAGTGCAATTATTTGATAAAGCGGATGATGCTGAATATGGCGCAATTTGTGCTAATTAGGAAGAAATTTTGTGCTAGTATTATTATGGAAAAGAATTTTTAACCCAGGTTAGTGTAATTGTACAAGATGGAAAAGGCAAAATAGAGCAAAGGGAATAATATATGATAAAATGTTGGAACACCTATCTATATTGTGAAAGCAACGATCTGAAGAGACAGGATTGCGTCTCCCAGAAATCTCCTGTAAAAACTTACAAAGGAAAACTCAGAAAGCTGTAAAGATATATAAATTATTTGAAAAGGTAGGTGTAGACAATATTAAGTATATTACGACATATAGTGTGAACTCTATTTCTGAGTTGACTAATGATAAAGTTCAAGATATCATAGATAATTTCTCCAAACATAATGATAGTGATAACACTGATGTGGAAGAAGTATCAAGTCTTATGACTGAGATTTCAGCCGGGGGCCCCGGCCAAAATTCAGCTGAGGTAAGCGAATTAATCGCATCTATTCCTTTTACATATGACTCTAATTATTTAGGTAATTCATCATTCACGCCTCAAATCGCTCTAGCTGAGGCATATTTTAATGATCCTATGCCTTCGTCAATGAAGAAAGGAACTAATGAAGTTTAGACAGACTATGATAGTAATTGTAGCCACGGCAATGATTCTGAAGAAGACGTATCATTTTCTGATAATAATAAGATAAATGATCGTAAAAATAAAAAATTAGGAGCCCAGCGGACCCCCTCCCTTTATTATTATAAAAAAATATATTGCCGGGACGACAATATAATATACAAATAAAAAATATGTTGCTGTTACATGATGCGAATACAAATAAAAAAAAAGTTTAATGGTCTTCTGCAAGACAATCCGCAAGATTTTTTTTCATTTGCACATGCCCTCTCTGTGCTTTAAATTTAAAAATTTTTTTCATTATCTACATGCAACTCATAACTATTTATCCAAGTTATAAGATAGCTTTTTTGACCTTTAACTTCCACAGGTGTTATTTCATTTTTAGTCGCCTGATTTATAAATTTCGCTTTTTCTATAGTGTCAATTGGACTTTCATTTTCATCTACAAGAATAACCCTCGCGACATCTTCGTTTAATCCTTCGACCTTTACTCGGATGCTATCATGACTAGTATTAAAGACTCTTGTCTCTCCTGCCTTATATAAGAAAATATTTGCAGACATCACAACTGTTAATAAAAACAAGGCTATTAATATACAAACTTGTGATAGTGTTTTCTGACCAGCTCTGCTAAAAAAAACATTACCTTAGAACTAAATTGCCGGTAACTTATGTTAAACTTTTTTTTCAAAAAATATATACAAGCAAAAAATAATGTTATTGCTAACTTATCTTATGGGCAGGGACTTGCTTATTTTTATACTGTCCATTTGCTAAAAAACTTGCTAGAAAAAAAGTTACATGATTAGTAATTGCGTTACCCAAATCCAACGTCAGTTTTTCTCTATAAAGCAAGTCTATTCGGCTATAAGCACCATATACTGAATCTATTTTGCCATTTTTCAGTGAAATTAACCCTTTATAATCGACGATCGTTTAAAGTGGGTTTAGATTTGACGATCTCGGAGATGGCGGAGATTCAAAGTCTCTGTAACATATGAATTTTGATAAAACTACTGATTAAGAACGTTATACTCATTGCCCTTATAGCCTTTTTAAGTCTCATTCTTATCATGGGATCGTATAAAGGGTCTAGACATTCATAATATTCGTTAATAAAAAAATCGCACCGTGAGAAATGATGAGTGACACCATATAAAATTTAATGCAGGCCATTAATTATTAAAGCCAGTCAAATTTTTATCGCTATTTTTCAACCTAGGCCAAAATAAAAGTGGACCCGCGGGAACTGTTAAATCATATGATATGACATAATATGTACTTATTTCTGTATTTTTTTCTGGATCAATGTTGAAATAAATCGGTAAAAAAATGTGATGCTAGATGTTTGATCTGTTATAATAGAGTGCTTATTCTAAATTTGCAAATCGGGCTTGGGGTATATAGTGTGTAAAATTATTACTGTACCCTGTATAAACAAATATCTAATCCCAAATATAGAAAACGTGCGATTGTTAATAGATTTTTGTGTCCAATAAATATGGTGCCGAATTTAGTAAAGAATTTAATTATTTGTACTGTAAAAATTATCATGCTATGTTAAGATGCCAAATAAAAAATATTAGTTGACTCGTGTTTAATTATTGCAATGCCGAGTCATTTATATTGTATACTACTTCGTGACAGATTATTATAGTATATACTGAACTAATAAAAATAAGCCGTAATTTATAATAAAAGGGTCCAGTACAAAGTTCTGTTCTGAATTCGGGTGAAAAAAGCAGTTGATAGAACGTGGTTGTATTAAAAGCACACATATATATTTTACAAGTATTTTTGAAAACAAACCTGCTCCTCGAATAATCATGGTCTAGTATATATGCTTATTTTAAATTTGTAAATAGCTGAAGTGCCAAATACATTGAAATCCAGTCCCAAAAATCGTGATGCATGTTGAT